ACGCCAATACTGCAGCATCCACTCTGGTGTCACTCTTCTGGCAACTGCGCAATCGAAGGATTCGCTCAACAGTATCATTATTGGAGGGCATATAGTAGGCGACATAGTCTCCATAAAAGCTCCGACGAAGGAAATCCGGCGAGACATTCTCGTGTCTCTCACAAATGACGGGTCGCAAGTCAACAGCCATGGCCACAACAGAAATCAAAGTGATACGCAAAGCATGTCTGAGAATTCTTGGATGGATCCGTCAAACCCGTCGTCAAGACCAACGTCTGCCGCTTCATCACCACCAGCTGAAGGCTTCCACGTTGCGCCCAGTCTCGATCTTCTGGACGTCGCCGGAAAAACAGATGGCTACATGCCAGCCGACCTCGTACTCCTCCTGGCCCGTGCCCGAAACGAAACGCTAACACGCATGATATCAGAAAACGATGACTCGGACGCACCTCCCACTCTCACGAAAGCCGACTTCGACGCGGCGTTGAAGAATTTCACGCCTTCTTCCCTTCGAAACGTAACATTGACTCACTCAACGACCACTTTTTCCTCCATCGGCGGTCTGCACGGCACCCGCAATACCCTCCTCGAAACACTCCTGTACCCGACAAAATATGCACCCATCTTCGCTCGCTCTCCGCTCCGTCTCCGCTCGGGACTCTTGCTCTACGGATACCCCGGTTGCGGCAAGACACTCCTTGCCTCTGCCGTAGCCGGCGAGTGCAACCTAAACTTCATCTCCGTGAAAGGCCCAGAAATCTTGAACAAGTACATTGGCGCTTCTGAAAAGTCCGTGCGAGATCTATTTGAGCGCGCTCAAGCTGCGAAGCCATGCGTATTGTTCTTTGATGAGTTCGACAGTATTGCGCCTAAGCGGGGCCATGATTCAACAGGGGTAACGGATCGAGTGGTGAATCAGATGCTTACGCAGATGGATGGCGCTGAAGGGCTCGAAGGTGTCTATGTGCTAGCAGCGACGAGTAGGCCGGATCTGATTGACCCAGCTCTTCTCAGACCGGGACGACTGGACAAGAGTCTGTTGTGCGACATGCCAGATATAAACGATCGGCTGGATATTTTGAAAGCAGTCAGCACAAAACTACGCCTGAAGCCCGAGGTTGAGAATCGTCTACTCAACGTCGCACAGCGCACCGAGGGGTTCAGTGGTGCAGATCTCCAAGCGCTCATGTACAACGCTCATCTTGAGGCCATTCACGACTTGTTAGGTGACAAACCATCCGATCGGGAAAAGGGCAGGGAACTGGTCAACGGGACCAACAGCAGCAGCGGTGGCGCCACCGGCGGAGGAGGAAAACGGCGCAAACGCCACAGCACCCAGGGCAAGCACGATTTCTTCCATTTTCTGTATTCGCCCGAAGAAGACGCACTGGCCAAGAAGTCCCTGGGCACGGGCGCCTGGGCGATGGAGTCCAAAGCGGCCATCGCCTCGAAGCTAGACGAGCTGAAACTGGCGCGCAAACGCGAAAAGGCCGCCCTGAAAAACACCTTTGCGCGTCGCACATCGTCGTCGACTGCGTCATCTGCTCTCGCTCTCGCCAACGACCGAGACGTCGACGGAGACGCCGACAGCGGGGCGGAACCCAACGGGTCCGGAGGCAAGGACAAGGTGGTGATCGAGTGGCGACACATGGAGAAATCGCTCGCGACGACCCGCAGCTCCATCAGTCCCGAGGAGAAGCGTCGCTTGGCCGCCATCTATCAGGAGTTCGTGGTGGGGAGGAACGGCGAGATGCCCTCTGGTCAAGGCGGGACGGGAGTCGGGGGGAGGACAAGTTTGATGTAACAACGGAAAGAAAGGAGGACTTGTTTAACTGGATACTCACAATCTATGCGTATATGCTCTGATATAGATAAATATATATGAGTAGGTCCATAGGCAAACAGGCGGGGCAGGGAGGCAGTCTGTCAGTCAGGCCATACCAAGCTCCGATGCTGATGGATTTATGGACCCTTCAAATCGCAGACTCAACACCCTCTTGTCCTGCGAGCAAGCAAGACGAGGTGTACACATGTACAAATACGCATCCAGTTCCCAGTTCCATATCATATAAAAAGGACCAAGTGAGACAAAGATCAGGAATGAGATTGATTATCACGGGCCATGAATTCTGGCGAGTCTAGATTTTGCATAGCACTTGCCCTCTGCCTTGCCTGGTCTTGCCTTGCCTTTCGCTCGTTCATCCTGGTGTCCTTTCGTCCCAGGAGACTACGTAGTTGTCATCGTGGTGGTCTCTGCTTGGGCCGAATACGTAGGACCTAGAGAGCTCCCGTCTATTGCCTGTCGAACAACTGTGCTCGCATTACAGGTTTGAAAAGAAGGGAAGGGAGAAAAGGAAAACGGGAAGCAGAATTGAGAGCCGGTACAGTAAGTAACTAGGTAAGCTGGGAAGTAAGTAATCTATGTTCTCTCATGAAACCTCCTGGCAGTATTGAAGTTAAGTAACATCTGCCTCTATCCGCGTCATACGGAAGACAACCCCTGGATTAGACAGTCGAGAAGCTGAACAGCAAAATGAGCAGTAGCAGCAGCAGCAGCATTGGAGCCGTGGGTATCATTCTTACTTCGCCGTCGCTCGACTAATTGCAAAAACGCCAACAATAACAACGGCAAGCGTGACAATGGCGCCAGGAAGAAGCAGGTCATTCGGCACACCAGCAATGATCTGGGGTTGTTCTTCCTTCCGTTGCTGCGTCATGGGTGGTGCTCGTTTCGATCGTATCGTCTTTGCTACGGGCGCAGCTTCTTCTTCTTCTTCCTCTTCTTCATCGCCCTTGTCTGCGGCTTCTACTATTGCTGCCTCCTTGAGGATGGACTCTGGAGGAGTGGGCGGTTTCGAAAGCTGAGGTCGCGGATCCACAGTCGTGGCAATTGGCGGTTGAGCCGGGTCATGCACGAACAAGTCGACTTTATCTCTCTTCCCTTGTCTCGCGAGCAGTATTGCGTCGAGAAGGTCTTGATCCGTGGTGATAGAGACTGTATCGCCCTCATTGTCCAAGTAACTCAACGCATAACCGGCTTTACCCAATTTACCTTCCTCAACAGTGGCTTCTCCGCCTACGGATTCCACTTCACCCCCTAGTTTGGCGGTGACTTGGTCAACCAGTTCGGCTAAACCGCTGCTGGCGTGGACTTGAATCCGATGGACTCGTCCGCTGGGGGCTTTGAACTTGAACGGGAAAGGTGTCTCCGGCGATTCGACAGACGGAAGGACCTCTGAGTGGACATCGTCTCCTCGGTGCGAAGCGGAGTCGTGTGGCATAACGCTGTCCCCCCTTTCAAATCCAGGACGGCCAGACTCTGACTCCATCATTGAACGATGGCCAGGAGTCGTTGGGCGATGGCTGCCTTCACCAGACATGATGGATTCGGTGTCGTTGTCCATTGACAGCCAGAACTTATTCCATGCCGGGCCCTCTGCTTCTCCCGAATTCATAGTGTTGATCTGTTCGAGGGTGGCATACGTTAATTTGAGGACGTCCACCATGCCAACGATCTCACCCTCGCCGTTCATGACGGGGAGATTGAGATAATGTCCATCTAGAGCTGTGAGCACTTTTTTCCCGGGTTGGGCACAGAAAAGACTTACCATGCATCTTGCGCAGAGCAGCCTGAATGCTCATGTCTGTGGGCGCAAAATCCGGGTGAGGAGTCATGACTCTCACGACACTACAAGTTGACGGGTCAAGACCGGGGGCGATGACCCGTAATACCACGTCCTTGCTCGTAAAGATGCCAGTGATAGACCCTTGATCTTGCACCAGCACTGCCGTTGTGTGATTCTCCTTCATGAGCTGAGCCGCCTCTTTGACCGACGTCCTGACCGAGACGGTCGTAGGAGGGAGCCCATTCAGCACCGATTCCAATGTAGGTCCCGACATCTTCTGTCTCAAAGCCTCGACATACTGGATAATCTGTTGGGGTTGGCTGGAGCCAAGTTCAGACTGCACGCCTTCCAGGGCATCGTACAGCTTGCGCGAAGAACTATATGCACGTTCCAGCTTTTCCATAGCCTCGTAAAAGCATTTCGTGATGTCAAGAATCCCGGATATGTCTTGATTTTCATCCATGACAGGCAGATGTCGGAATCCTTTTCGGACCATGAGATCCAGGGCATCGGTGGCGCTCGTGTCAGTTCTCGCGCACAACGGGTTCTTGGTCATGATCTGTTCAATGGTGACTTGGTTGGCTTTGATGCCGGCGCCGACGACACGGAAAGCCAAGTCCTTTGCGGTGAAAATACCCGCGATCCTATCGTCGTCGTCGGTAACCAAAACGCAGTCTTCTCTCTTGGCAGCCATCAGCTGAGCCGCCTCGGCGACAGTGGTGGAGGGCTTGATCTGTAAAGCCTGACTGGGTTTGAGGGCTAGGACTGTCCCCGGCGGTGCCTTGCGGGTGTGTCGGGCGCGGGAGGGGACGTGCTTCTTCTTGCTGAGGTCGGCTTCCATCTTGCGTCGAATTGCCTAGTAGCAACCGCCATGTATGTTAGGCACCGAGCGGGCTTGAACAGGATCGGGATAAGAACACGCACCTCGTCTCTCTTACTCTGCTTCTGTCGACTTGCAGACACGGTGGAGGTGCCAGACATCTCGCTGGGGCCAGTATTAGTGGAAGATTCCATCTTGGGACGAGGAATTGCGGAAGGAGAGTCTGCAAATGGCAGTTGACCACGCCGGTTGGGCGTGCCTCGATAGGTGCCACTGACCCCGGACATGGTGGATGACATGGAGGCAGTGAGTGATGTGGAAGACCGAAGATGGTCTGTGGTGGGAAGGGGGCCGCGAGCACAGGCCGTCTAGGTCGTACCGAGTAGTTGGGACTTGATTGAGAGTTTCTCGTAGATCCGAAGATTGGATGCAAAGTTGCAGGTGAGTTCCCGCATGATTGTTGGTTGCCGGAACAGAGGCCTACATAAACAAACGATCAGGTGACATCAGGTGACATCAGGTGACTTGACAACTCCCCTCAACCTCACCCATTTCTACAAAGACCTCTTACGCACAACCACCCACATATCCTTCTGCAGATGCGTCCCACAGCACCGGGTATCCCACAGATGCAGCGGGTTTTTAGCCTCGAACTCAAACCTCCTCAACAGTTCCACAAATACCTTGTTCAGTTCCATAAACGCAATCGGCTTGCCCAGGCATTGATACTTGCCATAGCCGAATACAAGGTCGTTGTTGCGTTCCATTTCCTTGAGCTTCTCGGCTGAGGACTCGTGGCCATGCGACTCACAAGCGAGGATCCAGCGCTCGGGGCGGAACGAGTCGGGATCGGGTGCGAAGAGCTTCGGGTTACGGTGGATGGCCTTGACAGAGGACCTGCTCGATAGTTAGCAGGCAAAAAGGGAAGCCCGGAGGATTAAGTCTTGCCCAACTTTGACTCCACCGGGTACGACGTAGCCACATATCGTGTCGCCTTGGGGAGGAGTCTGCTACGGTTACTATGACGAAAACGATATATAAGGTAAGTACTGGAAACTGACCTTCTTGGATAGTTCACCGGTCACAGGAGGGTACCAACGGAGCCCCTGTATGATGTCAACTTTTAGCAGCTTGGCAAGAAAGAAACCCAAGGCCAACCTCCTTGATGCAGGCTTGAAGATATGGCAGCTGCTTTGCCTGAGCCTCTGTAACGATATCCGTTGGCCCTGCGGGAATCTTTCCTTGCACCAAAGCTTGGTCAATCTCGACCATGAGTGTGCGATAGATTCTTGGATTTGTCATGATACACAAAAGGGTTGCTCGGATTGCTGTTGCCGTGGTGTCAGAACCAGCGGTTCTATCACGAGTCAGTGCTCCGGACAACTGCGTTCAACGTGAGGCGGACAAGTTGAGGACACTCTCCTGTTTTGCTTCCTCCTGGGTGAGCCCATGCCGAATGAAGCTTCCCAACATGTCCTCTTTATCTTGGTTGGGCTTCCCGTCGGGACCAAACCGCCTGCCTACCTGCTCAAATGCAATTGCTTTGACCCTGGCCACACCCATATTACCGTCTCCAGCTGCGGCCAGCTTTTGTAAGAGGCCAAGATTCGTCATGAACTTCAGGAACCCAGGCACGGTGGCTGTCCAGGTGATGTTGGGGAAGAGGGCCTCCAGCTCCTCGATGTAGCCAAAATTGTCCTTATCGTCACGTAGATCGTGGAATTTGGCATCGAAGGCGACCTTGCTCATGACGTCGCTCGTGAAGAAGGCAACTTTGCGGGCCAGGTCCATAGGTTTGATAGTCCCATCCGTGCTAATATACTTCCTGTCGACAAGATCGATCAACTCCAGGAGAGCGGCGTTCACGTCCTGTTCGAGCGACGTGTTCTCCTTGCCAGAATACCCGGCCGCCATCTTTCGACGGAGTTCTTCATGTCGAGCCTCGTCGAGAGTGGAAAAGATATTGTCTTGACCTGGGTTCAGCCGCATGGCATAGTACCAATCTCCACGCACGTAGGGCGAGCGCGGCGCGGAAAGGCGTCTCATAACATCTGAATCGGAGCAAATGAGGGTTTGAGGGCCGACGCGCACGAGAGGCCCGTACTTGTCAGTCAGACCACAGAACTGATCAAAAAGATCGGTTCGAGTGTGCAGTTTGAGCCAGGGGAAGATGCTCCATCCCCAGCCTCGAGGCCCCGGGATATGGCTAAGCTGGTACCACGATCTCAGCCAAGAAGAGATGTAGGTGACCACAAGGATCAGTAGAAGACCATCGGCCACTTTCGAACCTGTCAGAGACGGACCGGCAGACATGTTGAGCTTGCAATCTTCAGCTTAGACGGTGAAATGGGTTGGAAGATTTGCGTTGGTCACGACTTGCAGGTTTGTTCGGCGCCTTGCAGACTCTAACAGACTCAGAACTAAAGGCGGAGAGGAATGATTTCCACCGGTCCTAGATACGTCTCAGGATGTCCCTGCCAGTATCTCTACCAGTTACATGCCGCTGGTCAGACAAGGGGAAGTCGGATCCACGGCCAAGCTAATGCAACATTTATCTGCGCCAGGCCGGGTTGGTTCCGCCTGCTTTGGCGAGGACAAGGCCATGGAGATCAAGAACTAAGGGTAATTCGTCAATCACTCTCTCCATGTATAAGAGAAAGAGAGTTTGTTGCGCGGTGTCCGACAATCTTCGGGGTGGAGAATCGAGACGCCTGCTGATGATCAAGACGGCCTACTTGACCAATTAAGGTCATTACTTCTTGCCTCTTCAACAGCTCTCAAATACGAACAATATGCTTTTATGAGATGTCGTCATTCAATTCGCCCCCGCGGGAGTCTATATAATGTCGAGGGTTGGAGAACTATCCACACAACATGCCATCTAAGTCTCATCATACGAACTGAAGCAATGTCTGCAATCAGAATCCCCAAGGGCTCTATCAACCTTGCTGGCCTTCTCTTCAAGCCAGCTTCCCTGTCCGACAAAGCCCCCGGTCTTGTAGTGATTCACCCAGGCGGCGGTGTGAAGGAGCAGACTGCCAGTACATACGCAAAACGACTTTCAGACCAGGGTTTCGTGGCCATCTGCTACGATGCCTCCCACCAAGGCGACTCGGAGGGTCTGCCTCACTTTCTCGAAGATCCCTCGGCCAGAGTGACCGATGCTTCTGCCGTGGTCGACTACCTCGAAAGGCTCGACTATGTTGACATGAACCGTATCGCCGTCGTCGGAATCTGTGCCGGAGGTGGCTATGCCGCCGCTGCTGCCAAAGGCGATCATCGTCTCAAGGCCGTCGCCATGGTCAGCGCTGTCAACATTGGCGACGGTGCTCGTTTCGGATGGTACGGGAATGAGCAACCATCCAGCCAGGTCGCTAACCTTGACCAAGTTGCTCAAGCCATCCAGGCCGAAGCCCAGGGCACCGAAGCTGCCACTGCGCCATACGTTCCCCCAACTCCGGGGGATAATACACCGGTCGATCTCGCTGACGCGTACAATTACTATTGTACCCCGCGGGCGCAGCATAAGAACGCGCAGAACAAGATGTTGCTACGCTCTGTGCCGTTGGTCCTCAACTTCGATGCCTGGCAATTTGCCGATCTATTCTTGACGCAGCCTGTCCTCATTGTTGTGGGCGAGAAGGCCGAAAGCAGATGGCATTCGGAGAAGATCTACAAGATCTTGGAGGGCAAGAACAACAATGTCAAGAAGGTTGTCGTTCCAGATGGGAGGCATATGGACTTCTATGACAAGGACGACTTTGTCAACCCTGCAATCGCAGATATTGTCGACTCCTTCACACCGGTTATGGCTTGAAACGAAGACAGGACATAGGAGGCTGAGGGCCGCCGTTGCGAGATGCAAAGTATTGCTTGATGCAATGAGAAGGCTTCTGAACTGATTCTCGAGGGCGAAAATTGTTTTGGGTTGGATGCCTCAAGTTATCCGTGGTACAAGGCTACGAAACCAACGCAGTGACCAGAAAAGGATTGCGATCAAATGAATGCCTTCATTCCGAACTCTCAGTGCATTTTTGTTGTCGGACAAACAAACATTCCAGTAGCCAATGAGTCGATGTCTCCAAGATGTGCGGTTGCGGTTATTGTTTTCGTTTTGCCCGTCGTTTCAGCTCTGCAGGACTTTCGCGCAATCCATCACCCCAAAAGTAGATGGGTCCACCTCTGCGAGCAGGGCGGACCAATCCATGCCCCTGATCGTTTCCAAATCTCTGGGTGATCGCGTTGTATCTAAGCCGTACTGTACCTGTAGGTAAGGCTGTTCGGGTGCGGTGACGTTCTCAAGGACACCGCAATGGACAGTGCGCACTAGTTGGGGGTTGATCAGCCAGTTCAAGTTTACAGCTGTGGGATTGGGAGTCTCAGTGTGGTTGAGATCCTGGGAAACTCCATGATCTGTAGGCGCATTGCCGTTGTGAGCCTCATGGAGTAGTTTCGCAGAGATTGCATGTTCCGTGTCACTGTTACCACCACAACCAATGTTGGCAGCATTAACAAGGTCCCCTTGGGTGGCGGCGTCGTTGGTCGTATTCGGATGCACATTGGGTTGGGGAGCGGTTGAAAATGGTCCCTGATTACTAGCACGACCGACGTCGTTGCCAACTTCAGCCGGAGCCACAATGGTGTTTTGGGCCAGTCCATTTACATCCAATCGTTCCCAGAGAAGAGTCCGGAAATTGTCCAACACGCGTCGGGTAATGCGCTCCGCGTCTGCTCGGTCCAAGCCAGGAAAGTAGCGAACCTGGTACTCGACTTGATCGGGAATAATATCATCAGCAGTCTGAATGATGGCTTGTTCAACAGAGTCAAAATGTTGGTAAGGAGATTCTGGCCGACTTTCGCTTGGAAACAGAATGTCCCACACTTGGAACCAGCGGACCTCTTGCGGCGTCAAAGGTGCTTTCTTCTCGTAGGCCTTGCGACGCTCCTCAGTCATGATGTAACGTTCTTCCGCGAATTCTGGATCGACGTGTACCTTACATGGCTGTGGCATTTTCGCATGTTTGTCTAAAGTGGCCTCGTCGACGAACTGTTCGGAACAATGTTTACAGAAGTACTTTGGTCCACAGTGAATAGTTCGCAAGTGGTACGACAGACTCTTTGTGTCCGAGAAACCATTCGTACATGTTTTGTACTTGAGTCCATTCGCCGAACCCCTCCTGTATTTTCCGGGATATAGTTTGTGGAATTGACATGCTAATTTTCGATTGGATCTTTTGGATGACTTCGGCTGCTCGGGTATGTCATTTCTCCTGAATCCGCCATTGTTTCGATGGTCATCTTCTTGGTCACCTCTTTTCCTCTTCAGCTTGTTCGAATCACCCTGAGAAGTCGATCCTGTGGTGGAGCTGCGAGCGTCATCGGAAGAAGATCTATTGCCAGTTGATGTGGAAGAAGTTTCAATGGATCTTGTGCGGAGTAATCCATTCACATCCAACTCTCCCGTACGAAGCCACCTTGCGAATATTGGAAGAATTTCTCTCTCTACCCCGGCAAGGATCGTCCGAATAACCCCTTCGTGATGCTCGCAGGTCTCGTAGCTGTCGTCTGAGGCGCAAGATTCATCCTCGGATGTCTCCTGCTCCGAGTCGATTTCGGGCTCCGTGGAGATCGGGAGCAGGGGAGATTCCCCCGACTTCAAAGGCGATGAGATCGTAAGCTCATGCGATTTAGGTACAAGGCCAACTTGGTAGGTGGGACGATGATTCTCGGCTTCTAGTTTGAGCAAACCCCTAGTAGAAGCTTCGTGTGCAGAATTTAGTCCCAGGATATCCTCGCTAATTATGTTGAGGGGCTTGGTGGATGAGGAAGAATGCAGACTAGCGCAATGGTATTGGAGTTGGAGGGAGTTCTGAAATGTCATCGCACATTCTTGACAGGTAAACGTTTTGTAATGGGTAATGGGTGGATCTCATCTGATAGTTGGGTTAGCTGATTCGACGACTGTGAATTGAATCGAGAAGAAATACTCTGCTCCCGAAAGCCTGCACCTGTTTCTAATGTTAGGTCACTAGATTGCTTTTTCTGGATTGCGTTGAAGTATCGGTCCAAATCCATTGCCTCCTCCGTCATCTGGATCTGAAAATCAACCGGCCCAGGACCACGATGCTCGCTCCAATAGCCGGAGTCTGTGGTACCACCATGGCTTGATTGAGTCTCCGAGTCTGCATGTTGGAACTTGACTTGCTTCGGAGATATGTGCATTGATGTCTCATCTTCGGAACGAATGACCGCTGGGGGTATAAGTGGTTGTGGGAACCCTGGTCCAGTGTCCGAGGATGGACTGCCAGATGGATTCACCACATCCAGAATCCGCGTTTGGAGATGAGAACTCCATCTATCTTCTCCGCAGCGAATCGGTATTGTATGGGGATATAGTGGCGGGATTTTGGCCTGGCGAGACTGCCACTTGCGTTTCTTTGTTTTAATCTCTCAATTATTGATGTAGAGGCCGAACGGGTTTGCCTTCTTTCCTGCCATAGAATCACGCTTTTCACAGAAAGACGCCCACAAATTCACCTGTGAAACAAGCCCGGCCATTCTAGCCGCCATCTTGGTTTTAGACGTTCGTGGGACGTCTTGACGGACGGCGTCGCCCGCGGAGTCTGCAGTCATTATGCCTGTCGGAATCAATGCTGGAATAATGAGATTGGAACTCCTAGAAGGGACTGTTGCAATAAAATAGAGACCATTATCCGTTAGCTGATAGATTCGTTTCAGGGAATTTCAAACGGCATGAATGAATGATCTCAACAGCGCAGACTGCCGGAGGAGCTGAGTGTGATCCATCGTTGGAGATTGGAGCGCGTCTGGGGAATTCCGCAAAGCAATCGATCCGCAACGCAGAATCCGCGTTCATGGATCCTCGTATTTCTAAATTGTGCCATCCCTAAAGGAGCAGCACCGCCGCATCGATGAGAACGCCACTGACTGAAAGTGTGGTCGAAGTTTTCCTTGTGGTTGAGCGTTGAGGGAGGCCTGAATTGGCTTTGCGGATTCCGCGTTCAGACAACTTGCAATGTAACTGTCAGAGGTCTTGGGTTCGAAAGGAAAAGGTTGAACGCGTATATCGCACAGCACTATGACCACAGTTAGAAAGAGATGATATGCAGCCGTGCACTCGTATGCCAGTGTGGATATTGGTGCTGATACGCCGCAAAATGGACAATAGAGACACTCGTCAACGGAAAACGTACAATGTAAATGGATAAAAGCAATCCAAAAGACCGGGACGAACCTTACACTTCAAAGCTAAGTGTAGGTATAAAGCTTTCCAGCAAGAAGCGCAACTTTCCCACTGATCAGGCCTCAGTTGGAAACGGATGCCAAAATGAGGTCGAGCTCAACCCATCAAACAAGTGTTCGTGTAGTCTTGCAACACCACCGCAAGCATTTTGTGTACAGCAACATGCTCGTCGGACCCTTCGAAACTTACGCGGGAATAATGGCCAAACTTCAAGAGAAGTACTTCCGAGAAGTCCATGGTCCGTCTGTTACGCAGTTGCAAAAGTGCCTTCTTTGCCAAGATCTAGCCCTTGAGATCATACCAAAATCATCCGTTGGTGTGCCCCTCTATTGAGAGAAGTCAAGTACTGAGCATGCTACAGCTCACCTTTGCCGACGTTGAGTCAAACTTTCCATCTGCTCGAGTCTTCCTTGGCAGGGGACGGTTTGACCAGGGCATGACAGAAGCTTTTCATCACCCTGAATTGATGAAATTAGGACTTCCATTTGCCAACACTTATCCGGAGTTGTGTACCTGGACGGTGACAGCAGAAGAGAAAGTCGTCCTTGTCCGACGGAAATTTTCGACAAAGCGGGCCAAGGGATTCATGTGCTTGAATTTGATCCTGTTTGTCACAGTTGGAGCTGTGGTTTCCATAATGACGGACAGAGGTGACCTCGGTGTCGCAATAAGTGCTGGATTGTTTGCCATTCTGCAGCTATTGCAAGGCGTCGCTTCTTGAGTCCTTCATTGAGAGCCGCCATCGGAGGTAATCGGGACGAGCAGCTGTGGGAAGTTGTTCTAGCCAGCTCGAAGATGGTGAGATGGCATGGGATGAACTAGATGTCGGCACTCACACAGCCATCTCGTTATCGTGAATGGGTGTGTGGACCCTGGTTCAGGCAGAAGTTCGATTATCGCCGGTTGTCAATTCGTAAATTATCCAGCTGGGTGACTTGAAATGGCCGAGATCGCTTGATGAAACATTAGAAGTCCGACAAACGTCATCCTCAGCCGCTACCACTCCCTAAGAATGACCAAGCATTTGTACCTGCAAAGATCAAAGGTGGCCTTAACTTACAATGGAGGTTACATACCTTGAGAAGGGGTAGTTACCCGTCTCTTAACCGCGTGGATAAGCTCTATCGGAGTACCTCTCATTTCGGCCAATTATTCAGTGCTTCGATCGTAGATAGAGGGCACCGTGCTTTTGCTTGTCAGGATACATCTTTTACGATTTGGCTTGCAGGTGTACACGTATCACTAGTGGTAAGGTACGAGTATTATGTAGGACAGACAGAAGACGCCGCAGCTCGACTTCCGAAGGGGGCTAAAGCGGTCTAGTGCCTTGGCATTGATAGTACTCAGCCTTGCTCAGCCTCGTCAGGATAGTGCGATGACAGGGACCAAGACAGCGGGGACTTCCGTGTACTTCTCGTATGTCCTCCGTACATCCCTTTGAGAAACCTGGACATCCTCTGTCGCTGTTGACATCACTGTTTAGTGGCCAGAACTATGACGAGGGCAGCTTTCAACGATCCATGGCCTAATGCCTCAAGCTCCAGACTTTCTTCCGAGGCTTCTCCACAGCTTCCCCTGGCTCTTCAACAACACCCCCTTGCCAGCTCTTCCAACGTGAGCGAAAGCCAGGTATGGAACTTCGCGTTCTCTTTGCTTGTTCGTGAGCGGGAACGTACACAGGGGACAGCAGTGACGCGGAAGACGACACTGACTGAGCGTGGTGATGACCCCTATTCATGTTGGGAGTGGGCATTTCGACCTGCTCCACGAATGCGACGGTGCTTACCGCGTTATTCATCTCGTGCTTTAGATCGACTGAGCTCTTTACAGTTCGCATTGTGGGTCTCACTTCTTTCTCTTCTTTTTCGGCACTTCCCACCGCGGTACACTCGTCGCTAGACATGCGCCGTGTCGGATTCGACCGCAGTGGCAGCTCGTATGTCAAAATATCATGGCTCATGGTCAGCAGCGCAGCGTCTGATGGTTTCTTCGTCTTCTGGCCGCCTCTTCGATCGATTGCCTTTATCTGCTTTTGAAGTTTCACCAGGTCCTTGTGCCGGCCTTGCCATTCGTATGTTTCACAAAGTTGCTCCATTGCTTGTATTGTGGCTGGATGCTCCTCACCAAGAACTCTGTTGCGAGCTTCAATCACCTGGAGTTCTAATTCCTCAGCCATCTCGGCCTTCTGGTTAGAATTTTGGCGAACATAAGTCGCGGCTAGGTCTAGCATGCTGATAAGAGTCTCGGGATGGTCTTCACCTAGAACTTCTTGTCTGCGCTCCAGGACTAACTTGTTCAGTGTTTCAGCCTCGTCATAGCGTCCCAGATGCCCATAGGTGATGGCTAAGTCGCGCATGGTGAGTAGGGTGTCGGGATGGTTCAGTCCCTGTGTTCGTTTACTCACTTCCAGCACACGGACTTGTAGGCGCTCAGCCTCCTCGTACCGACCTTGTATACCATGAAGAGACCCAAGATGAGCCACCGCCCGCAGCAGGTCCGGGTTGTCCTCCGGGACGGATTGCTTTGCGGTAGCTACTGCCTGAAGCTGCAGTGCCATAGCCTCTTCAATTTTGCCCTGTTCGAGAAGAATGCGTGAAAGATTAGTGTGGCTAGCCAATGTATCAGGATGGCATGCTCCGAGTGAAGCTTTCCTGACGGTTACAGCTTCCGATGCCGTCTCTTCTGCACGACCATGGTAGCCCTTGACCCTAAAATATGTGGCTGCATTGTGTAGTAATGCCGCCTTCGATGTCGAAACTCTGCCATCTTCGGACTGCACCTTGTTCTCCAGCACCACCTCGACATGAGGTAGATAGATCTCGCAACTTTTCCATTCTTCCCTTTCGCCGGGAGGGAAGACAATTGAAACAGCCACCAGTGCCTGTTCCGCCCAAACAGCGGCCTCTCCGTGAGACTGCAGCCACTGCTGTGTCACCAGCTGCACCATCCGATGCAAGCTGAATGCTGCATGGGTCTCACCTCGTATCGTCAAGGGGCTTTCTTCGACTAGAGAAAACCGTTTCAAGAGCCCACAGGCTTTTTCAAAATCGATGTCTAAAAGGCTCTGATCTCGTCTTCTAATTAGCTCATCGGGAACACAGTGCCTGTCCAGGAAGGCCAATAGAGAGAGAATTTCAGCAGCCAGAGGGTTCTGTTCTTTGATCCGTGTGAAAGACATCATCCAAGTTGTCGTCACTGCGTTTCGAGCCTCGTCCTCGGCCATGGTGCTAGCAGCGCTGTGACCAAGGAGTTTCAGCGCGTTGAGCCTGCTCTCTTCATATCGCTGTAGATATCTCGGAATGCTAAGGGTGTTCTCCCAAATGAACGCCGCGGCCTGAGTCAGAGCCAGCGGTATGTACTCCAATTTGTTTGCCAGTTGAGTGATGTCCTCTTTCTTGTATTCATCTTCATCCTCGAGAATCTTGCGGACAAGACCAACAGCTTCCGAATCGGCCATACGCTTGACTTGTAGCAATGAGCTCATCTTCACCATCCCGATACCTACTTTCTTGTCTCGGGTTGTCAACAGAACGGCGCCATGTGCGCAGTCTGGTATATAATCTGCAAGCCTGCCCGAAAAACTTCTTTTGCCTTCAGCATTAGAGGACTTGAAGAACATGTCGAAATCGTCAGCGTTATCAACGATCATCAACCAATCCCCACTATCCTTCTTTATACTCAGCCAGTTCCTCACAAGGCTCAGGATGTCTGCTTTAGGCGAGTCAGCTCCTGGTATCTTCAATTCCTCGGCCAAATCCATATATGATTGGTGAAATCGTTCCAAATTGCTGGCATGTATCCAAAATACAGACGTCTCCGGATGGGTTTCTCTACACCAATGGGCGTAGCTAAGGGCAATCTGAGTCTTTCTGTGACGGTGAGTAAAGTAGTAGCTTAGACTTTCTGAGGAGCATACCCTATCCCACCAAGCCCGTAAAGGGCTGCTCGCCTCTGCCATCCAGGATGAGGTGAGAGTATCTCAATCAAGCGCGCGATGATTTTCTCACGGCCAACAAAGCTCGAATTCTTTTGATATGGTACAAAGACTAGAGTCATGTCAGCACCTGTTCTTCCGACAGGTTTCTCGTCGAAGAAAAGGGGCGGAGCATTCAGACACAACAAAGCAGATACTCGAGTTTCGCGATTCCAAAGCAGCGTCAAGATTATATGAGGCAATATATGCCCATTTAAAAATTTACGTCACTTACATGTAGGCGACTGAACATTACTGGTTTGAGAACTCTTCTGGGCTGGAGTTTGAAGTGCTTCTTCGACCAATGCCACTAAATCGTCTTCGACTTGCTGGTAAGCCGAATTTGGTTCGGGGAATTTGCAGATACTTCTGTGGTCGCCGTCAAGCGCGATAGCAGTTTCTCGTTGTCCCGAGAGACCCAGAGTGGCAGATTGCTTATCCACAATCTGAAGTATGTTAGTTGCGCCGCCCGCGATATTCAAGGTTATCATACCAAACCCAGCGGTCCCATTGGTAGTGTCTCATAGAAGGAGAGTATCTGATAGTCTTCATACTGATGTCTGAACTCATCCTGGAGATGTTCAGAGAACAACGAGTTGTACTTTAGATTATCCATGAAAGTATTCTTTTGATTCCGCAGGATGCATCTGGCAATATTTGCAGCAATGTCGCCCAATTGGGCATGACGGCCTCCTCGATGAGGAGTCGCGAAGAACACCAATCCGAATGTCGCTTTGCGAATACTAGCGTATTTGTCGTTGAGTTTCGCTTCAACGAGTGCCTAGGTAGAGTCAAATGGTGGTCCTTGGGACGGACAACTCGATTCTCTGAAAGAAGTGAAATAGAGGCGCGCGCAAGAAGGGGCTCAGAGTACTGGCTAGGAAGAGGAAATTTCTACTTACTCTCTTGACAACAATACCCCCTAGACTGTGTGCGATGAATATAATCGGTCTGTGCGGATCCACTTGCCTTCGTTGCGCATTGAACCGATCAAGCAGGTTGACTGCCTGTTCGTTGACGCCAGCGGTCGAGGTCTCGATCGCCACATTGGAGTTATATCCGAAGAGAAGAATCCTTGCATTTGGCAAGCGCTTGGGAAGGAAATCGCACAACCACATCTTCTTGTTGTCTGCCGTCCATGTGGCCTCAGCGTGGAATTTTTTGTTGATCGGATTTAGGCCATGTATGGCCACAATGCTGGATAGCTGTTAGCCGGAGGGGCACGATCCAAATGGAGATCTATACAAAGCCAGATCATGGCGGGATATGGAAGCAGTTGACCTTTGACTTAACGTACTCAATATCAGCATCGTGTGGATCAACAAGTATCCGAAGGAAGTTTTGCTCGATGGTAGCCTATTGGTCAGTTCAACTTCTTGGGTTTTGCTGAAAGGAGAGATAGAGGGACGGTTGGATCTCCGTACCATGGTCAAGAAGGATGCTGATATCCACTATACCGTGTGACCTAGGTTGTGACGACGTGAACGCTGCCAGGATAAGGCGATTCCCTAGGACCATAAAGGGGTCTCTCAACCGAGGAGACCTGTAACATCGGGAAGAGGGGTCGTGTGCAGGTTTTGTGACCCAAACATGCCAAAAAGGATGATTAATGTTCGGGAGGGTGTCCTGATAAACCTCGATATCGGAAACTGTCAACGAAACACGGAAGGTTGATGCCCTTTGACTTTGGAAAATGGCTGGCACAAACAAAACGCACAATCGGTCCATCGAATTCCCCACTCGTGCATGAGGCTGCCACATCAGCAACACGCTACTCTCGTGGTGTGAGATGTGGTGCACCTCCCGGGCCTTCTCCTTGTAGAGCCTAGCCTGGCAAGTAGTTTGGTATGTGAAGCAACATCACGTAATAGCTCGGTACAAGTTTGCTCTCTATCGGGGAGAGGTTGAATTGGCTTCGGTTCCTGGCGCATGGCTGTCTGTATAATTTTGTTTATGAACCTGGATCAGTGCAGAGAGCATAGCTTCGTGTGTCACGAGGCATGGAAGACTCGTACTGGGATATAGACCAATTGACCTTACGAGATTAGTGCCCAGGGCAGCCGCCAGGGATGAGTGTCAAAGTCGGATGCTCGGGGGCAAAGCCGGGTTCAAAAATAAGTGGCATAGTCTGTCCCGGAATCGTACCCCATGAGTGCTCAATACCGTCAAAGCGACGGCTCCATCGGAAATAGTTGACAGTATGGCTCTGAATGACAGCGGGCCACTAATTCCAAGGTAAACGGAACCCGCATTACCCACAAAGGCCTCCTCCGTTGTAACAGCGAAGGACTCTGAAGGTGCCACTTATTTTTCAATGCGGATTGACAGTCCGTCCAACTCACTGCGCCAAGATATTTGACAATTCTCCATACAGGGCAAGACAGGGTGCCTACCTAGGCTCGCTAGTAGGGAATTCAGCCTCGTTGTGAACACAGTTCAGCCTCGTCAAAATTTCGAGTGCGGAGAAAGAGCGCACTTCAGCACTTCCTGCAAAATCCACCTTGTTGAGTACAGAAAACTCACTTCCGGAGAAAATATGGCCACAGATACAATGATGGATACAGCTATGGTAGAGGGCGAAACGCATGTGTCAATACCAGCCTCGACTATCTCACACCATGCACTTGCAAAATCTGAGAGACTGTACGTCTTCTCCGTCTTCGAGGTGCTAGATTGCACTGTTCTATGATCAAATCTCACTAACAAATTGTTGTCCTTTTCTCCCTAGGCCAACGACGGTCGAAAAGCCCACCCCGTACACCTACGACCTGGGCTACCTGACGGCGACTGATCCAAATCCCCTCTGCACCACTTCACAACTCCTCTCTCAATCACCATCCGACCGCAACGAGGCGCTCAGACAAACTGCCCGCGACGGCGCCCAATCCCTCCTCAACACCCTCCTCTCGACTTGCCCAATCCAGTCGACGCCTGATGGCCTAATAATGACCCTGCCCGCACCGCAACACTATCTGCCAAGATGGAAACCGCTGCCGAAGCCGAAAGCGCCGACGAAGTGGGAATTATTCGCCCGTAAGAAAGGTATCGGCAAATACGGAGGCAATCTGAAGGGCGGTGCCGCGCAGGAGGAGAGGCGGAAGAACCTGGTCTACGACGAGGAGAGCGGCGAATGGGTCAAGAAATGGGGCTACAAGGGACGGAACAAGAAGGATGAAGGAGAATGGCTTGTCGAGTTGGACGACGAGGCAGTCAAGAAGGAGAAAGCAGGCGCCGAAAGTGGCGACGGCAAAACGTTCAGAGGGGAAGGGAGGAGGGAGAGGAAGGAGAGGATCAAGAGGCAGGAGCGACGGCAGAGGAATAATGAGCGGAAGAGTAGAAAGGCTGGCAAGATGGGTTGATCGTGGACAACGACGAGGATCGTCAACGAGATCTAGTGGTTTGTTAAATGGAAAAAGAACAAAAAGAAGAAAAGAAGAAAAACTTCCAAGTATGGGATCAAGCGGCTGCATCTGTTCGACCAGCAAACCAGTCAGCCAGCTGGTGGCTCTATCAACCCGTACTGGAATGGGCGCAACATGATGGTGCTGCCATCCGTTCATCTCCCCTGCAGGAATGTACCGTTGTACCACGGGAGTCCACGACGGGCGAGTGGGTGGCGTTGTGCCAAAATGATCTCGGAGAGCATCCGACTGGCGGGGAGCTCGTGTTCGAGAAAGGCCAGGGCAATCAGGGGTTAGACGGAAACATATCGCGAAGCTGTTGAAAGACACTCGAGTGATGAACTGGGCAATATCATCCGACAGGAGGCAGCATCTTCCACCGCTGGCTGCATTCGACTCGAAGCATCGCAACTCTATGGTCTCGAAGATCACTTGCCTCCTTCTATTCAACCTGACTGGGCGCTTTCTCGCCATGACCAGTTCAAACTCTAACACGCACCTAATCATACAAAGAGAGCTTCGGTCTGCATCATCCTCCTTGCAGTCTCTACCTTGGTTATACCGATTCTCCTCATGAATCTTCATCATTGTTTTGAGGCCAGTGCCAGAAGAAAGCCACAATGCAATGCAACTGCCAAGAGAAATGCAATGCTAAGTGAAAACCAGGTAGATAGATAATACAAGATATGTCCTAGAGCCTTTCAATGCCAAACAGTCGTCATAGGCAAGCTTATCCAAGCAGCGCATCAAAAGGAAAATGGACATGTCTCAGTCCGTGACGCGTCGGAACGGGAAGATGTCGATTTAAAATCACAACAAGGCCGTCGACACATATCCGAAGACGTCACATTCTGATAGGAGAAAGTCCTGTCAGCTCAGGCAACTTCTGGTCAAGCGACAGTTTGGGAGGCTCCGGTGTCACCATCCGTGGTACCGCGGGTACGGATTGGCTAGGCGCATGCGCACTGTTAGATCTGTCTCTAGCACTTCCACCCTGAGACAGACTCCTCTGTTTTGTCCTAGGCGCCATCGACTTGCGTTGTGCTGCAGCATCTGCGCTTCGAGGAGGAACAGGTTGCTGTGGAGATACCTGTCGATCAGCTGCCGGTGGTGGTGGCGGTGGTGGTTGCTGTTGTTGACTGCTGCCACTGGAAGAGATGGCCCTTTCGTCCACGGCAAGGTCCTCACTTTCATTAATCGACCCTTCCCGCTCGTATCGGTATTCTTCTTCCAGGTACTCCTTTTCGGTCCAGCAGCCCTGCCAGCAATTCTTCCAATCCATGACGAGAAACTGAAAACAAAAAGCATCGATCTTCAGGCAAGGCTGAAAGCAGATGCACAAATTTCGATAGTCCATTTTGTTCTTTTCGGCATAGCTGTTAAGTAGGCTGAGGTGGCATGTGATGGCGAATAACAGGTAGTAGTTGAAGGGCGGCAGACGCGACAATTCGTCTCTCAGAAGTTGAGGCGCCGAAGTCGCACCGGCGCACTGGGTAGCAATCTTGTTTTGCACGGATTTGGGAAGGATCTCGTCCGGCAACTCCCGCAGCCATGATTTGAACATTGATCCGATGGTGTTGATATCATACAAATCGGGTTCATCAAAAAGGTTGATATCGAATTCGGTGTCAAAACGTCGCTGCCAGTGTTTTACATCTCTCCCGCTGCCAGGAATCCGATACAGGCCTTCTTCCTCGGCACCATTCATATTTAGGTAGCTGCGCAAAATTTTTAGTACCAGGCCAGAAGACTTGGGAAGGATCAACATACTCAATGCATCGCCAAGGTAACGCCGGCATCCAGAATTCAGTCTTGTCCTTGGATAACTCCAGTCGTCTTGCTATCCTGGTTTTCCGAGTTTGCTTAACAAGTGGCAGGTTGATTGTCGTACATACGTAATTGTCATCCGTAACCGTTAGAACTTCGCGCTCGTTGCTGCTCCCACTCCGTGTAATCTTCCCGAAAAAGCCTTTCCCAGCCTTGCCAAGGCGGTCTCCCACGCCTTTGCCTGTTTGCCCAAGGTTGGATAAAATTTGGAGGGTTGATCCGTCTCTGAAGGAGTGCGATGTGGGAATGTTCCCCGTCTGCCGATCTCTCTTTGTGGATTGTGAGTCGTCACGAGTCTGCCTATCTACCGAGCGGTTTCGAACGGTTGCGTTGCCCTCAGGGCCAAATGTTCTCTCTCGGTGGTCGAGTTTGATGGGTGCAGTTCTTGGGGATGTGTCGTCGTGGTCTTTGCCTGCATTGGAGGTGTCCAGCTGCAGGTGGCTTGGGGGCGGGTGCTTCTGCTTTGGCGTTATTTCCTCCATTTTCACGGTCTTGGTCCTTGCGAGAATGCCTCCAAACTTAGACTTGGTCTTTTTGGCCGCCAGAACAGGCTCGAGAGAGGGTTGAGAGGGAACCGACTCCGATGAGGCTGGGGGCTCGTTGTCATTGATGGGGCCGTTTCCTGATCCAGCTTTGGGCAACTCTGGAGTCGAACCTTGCTTCTTTACTGAATGTAGGGACCTCTCTTTTGAACTAGCCCGACTCCTTCCATTGGGCTTCTCTGCGCCCTCCGGAATGCTGGTTTCCGAAGTATGCAGTTTGTGGGAAGATTTGGAGGCCATCAAGTTGGAAAAGAAACCTTTAGAGGGATCTCGACCATGCTTTGGTGATTGAGGAACAGGCGAAGGAGGGAATTCGGGCATGGCTGTTATTCTGGGAGAGCTGGGCCCCGTACGCGAGCCATCATTTCGACTGTCTTGACATACAGAGGCTTGGTGGGACATAAAAGATGGCGGAGGGCCTCGCAGATATGGGGATGTCGGGGCTGACCGTGGAGTGTGAGGAGAGCCCGTTGAGCGAGGGCTCAGCGTCGCGGGAGTTAGACCATTAAGCTCCTCATTGTTGTTGGGAGCCAAGTTGAGATGGGGTAAAGCTGAGGCTTTTGGCATATCTGCAGCTCCTTAAAATGTCATTCACGGGGCCGACTGCAGGTAGCCGGCCGAGTTCTTACAGTCGGACAAAGCAGCAGCTGGCGCCAGATCACCGGGACTGCGATATCCCCCGTCGAATGTATTGGCTCTTCGTACCACCTCTTTTGCGATGACAGGTCGATAGATATGAGACGCAAGGTCAAACGGTGTGTAGGTGGGAAAGGGGTGGTACTGCTCGTATCGCGCACGGAAGTGCTGGTCTCGTCAGGACGTTTTTGATGATTGATTCAATGCCACGTATTCCAATTGCTACGGGCCTGCGGCCAAGTGTCGGCAACCAATTTGCGTGTCGTAAGCCAGTAATGTCAAGTATTGTTCGCTATCCAACAAGTACTCCGTAACAGAGGAGCAGGCCTTTGATTTGTAGATTCGGAAATGATAGGTGATGAAGAAGACGCTGAGCAAGGAATGCGTTCGCAGCCGCGTGAAAGCGTCGGGTTCAATTGAGAGACACGCTCCTCATCGGACTGCTGCTTATTGCTAGGTGTGCTCGTGTGACAGGCTGACTGCCAATATCGCTGAGTGGCTTGCGAGGAGGGCGGTTAACAAAGGAGAAATCTAGGAGGATCGAAGGAGCGACAGAAATCAAGGATCAGGACGAGCAAGGACAAAGTTAGGACTAAAAAAGCATGTAGGACCAAGCCCCAAAGAAATTGAACCAACGGGCTATAGGCGTATAAGAGTGTGAGAGTTGGTGCGGTTTGAGGAGATATGGGTGCTTTCGAAGTTACGTGGGATGGATGGTGGTGGTGTGCAGACAAAATCAACGAACGCGGTGGTGATGGTGATGGTGGTGGGTGGAGGAGACGGAACCAAGCGGTGAGAAGGAATGAGGGGACCAGCATTAGGCTTGGAGCACGACGACTGAGGGGCCAGGAACAGGAACAGGAATCGGAGCCAAGGGCACCTAGGGCACCTAGGGGAAAGGGCCTGACTGCCTGGATTTTCTGGGCTTTTGAGGTTGCAGGTGTCGCAGCAGGCGAAAGACCTACCAACCTGGAGTTAACTGCAGTTGATACTCCGTATCTACCTAGCATCGCTAGTTGGGTAGATATGCACGGAGTTACCTGGACACGTAATTGCCCGTACCTTAATGGACTGGGCTGGGCTGTAAGAGAGACGACAACAACACCCTGCGATGCAATGCATGGCGAGAAGGATCCGTAACACTCAAAATGCTTGTTTCGTCTTCTACCTGCACCCACAGTAGCGGCAGGCGATGAATTTTCATGATTGCTCTGGTACTATGCTACTGCATGCTTTTCTTGCCTTTGTTGCAGACTAGGTAGTCAGAATAGCGGGCGCATAACGCAAGCACCTGTGGGGGGGGATGAGCAGCCGATGCCAAACGCTGATTTCAACGATGGCGACTTCAAACACGGGGATCAGGTGGTGAAGCAGGACTCGCTTGGAGACCATGCTTTGACCATGTTTTGGTGCTTCACCAGCCTGAGCTTCGAGGTTCACCGTCCCCCATCGAGGCTAGGGCTCAAGCCCCCATCTGGGTTTCACCGGCGAAGTTACTTGCAGGTGGACGCCCCAGTGGGCCCAGCTTGCCCACTAGCTTTCCTAGCCTCTCCTGCTAACTGGCCTGGATGACCCCCCTGGGCTGCCCCTCAGGCACTCCAAGTCGCCAGGGGCACAGAGACATATCTCGACATGCACGCGGCTGGAGCCCGGCGTGTTCAGCGAGTCAATCAGGTAAAGCCAGGAAGCTAAACGCGCAGGGACAAAGAGAAAATCGACAACAGGGCTTGAGATTTGTGAGATCTGGTCTAACTGCTACAGGCCCAAGAAAAGAGGGCGGAACAGCCACCAGCACACAACCGCGGCGTTTTCAGATTGAATTGCGAGCGACTGCTTGTAGTAATACCGCACACCTGATCATGTTCTCTCTTGGGCATGATTCTGAGATCGGCAATCACGTATTACATACTCCGCAAAGGAAGACGCGTAATTGACCCCGGGAATAAATGGTGCCTGAGATGAAAAGTTTACCTACCTCGCTACCTACGCCTGTCAACACCTGCCAACGCCAAGCAGATCAACTGCAGCTCGTGTGCAGCGTCAGCCTCCTGACGAACCGCTTCCACTTCACATCACCTGCCAGCCCTCATCGACTTAGTCAACCATTTTATTCAAGCTGGCCCCATCCTCACCTCCATTGGTGTCATTACAGCAATATCCGTCTTGTCCGAGAAAATGTCACTGGTTGCGGGACCTGGGGTGGGAGGATCACACTCGACCTTGCCCTCAGATCTCAGCCTGGTGGTGGAAAAGCATGTCAAATATATCCAGCTCCTGGATACTGTGCGTCCATGTGAGTGCTTTACACTGCGCAGCTTGTTGATACTTTGTGCCAGCGAAAAGATGAACTCGACTACTGGTTGACCGAACACCTGAGGTTGAATGGTGTGTACTGGGGTCTGACGGCCCTTCATCTCCTCGGCTATCCAGATGCCTTGCCCCGTGACAAAACCTTGCAATTCGTCTTCTCTTGCCAGAACCCAGATGGGGGGTTTGGTGCTGCTCCTGGACATGATTCCCACATGTTGTACACCGTCAGCGCCGTCCAGATTCTTGCCACAATCAATGCCTTGGAAGCCTTGGACAAGCCCGAAAGAGGAGGAAAGGAGCGAACTGCCAAATGTAAGCGAATTCCGCATCTTGCCACGGTCATGACCGGAGCCGCTGATACTCCCCTTTGGAGACATCGCAAGCCTACAGAACGCCGACACGGGTACCTTTGCGGGAGATGAGTGGGGGGAGACAGACACTCGCTTCCTCTACGGTGCCTTCAACGCCCTCTCCATCCTTGACATGATGCACCTGGTGGATGTGGACAAGGCTGTCTCCCACATTCAGGCTTGTGCAAATTTCGATGGAGGCTTTGGTCGATCGCCTGGCGCCGAGTCTCATTCTGGCCAAATATTTACTTGCCTCGGGGCTTTGACGATCGCTCGTAGACTGGACATTGTGGACCATGACCGGCTCGCCGCATGGTTAAGTGAAAGACAACTTCCCAACGGTGGGCTCAATGGCCGCCCAGAAAAGCTTGAAGATGTTTGCTATAGTTGGTGGGTGCTCAGCAGCATCTCAATGCTGGGAAAGCTGCACTGGATCGATGCTACAGAATTGATCAAATTTATTCTGAGATGTCAAGACGCCGATCAAGGTGGATTTGCAGACAGACCCGGCGACATGGTGGACGTTTTCCATACCGTGTTCGGTCTCGCAGGGTTGAGCTTGCTGGGCTATCCGGGCCTCGTCGAGGTCGATCCCGTATAGTAAGTTCGCAAAGACGATGCCTTCTCCTATTCTACGCTAATTGAGGCCCTTAGCTGCATGCCCAAAGCAGTCACCAGAGCCTTGCCATACTGGCAAAAATGATGACCCTGTGTGGCTCGGTGCATCCCTCTTGCAATCTAATACCCCACTTGAGTTGGCCTGTGAAAGATGGGATACAAGGCAAGAGAAGAGCAAAGGTTCACCACGGCCTATATCCGCTTCATCACTCTCCTATCCTCGCCCTAGAGGAAGCATAGACCTGGTGGAACAATTGGAGAGGCATTCGATTTTGTTGGCAGACCGTGAAGATGGAAATTTCACGGCATTGTGATGAGTTTAGCTTGAAAGTCGTTTCTCCCAAGCATCACAGCCAGCTTCCTGTGGTAGTCGATAGACCTAAGGTGCTAGCTGTCGTTATTGAGGGCGCTCCTGCCTTCTGGCGAGGTGAGGCGATGGCATGGTGGGTGCTTGGTCGGAGTTTCCTCTCTCTTTAATGCGCTGCACAAGTTTCTCTCTTTCTCTCTCACTTCATCAATGTCACCTGCGCTCCCTCACGCCTCCACCACTCCCCTGCTGGGTCACTTCTGTCCGCGCACTGTGCTCCCTTCTCCCTTTCTTGTTCATCCGTGTATCCTGCTGGGACTGCAGTAGGAAGATACCTTGGCCCCCGCATTTTGTCTGTTCCTTGAACCGTTTTTGTTTCGTCCTTATCGCTTCAAATTTGCTTTGCTGTTTCCTTGCGATTTTGCTCTCTACCCTCGGAACCTACACCGGCCATTATGGCAGTGGCCTTGCTGAGCTGCAGCATCTGTCCAGGCCAACCCTCCTTTAGTGACACCTCCCACTTGCTCACTCACGTCAGTTCCAAAGGTCACCTATCCGAGTTTCACAAACTCCAGGTACGGAGCTACCAGGATATCGCAGCAGGCGTGGAATTGGCCACGTATAGTCACTGGTATCAACAACACGATATTGACAGATTGCTCTCGGAGAGAATGCAAATGAAAGAGAACAAACAGGCTAAGAAAAGAAGAGCCTCCGCAGCGGCACGAAACGCTGGCGTACTGCAACCAGGCACATTTGACCATGCACAGTTAAATCCATCTTTGCCCCCAAAGCGCCCAGGGAGACCAAAGGCCCAGACCCAGACCCAGACCCAAATGCAGAGGAAACGCAGTCGAGGCAAAAAAGCAAGACGAGATGACGATGGCAGTGACTCGGACTTCACTCCTGTCAAACCGCCTAGGTGGGCGCCTTTCTTACGGGTGTGTCCTGTCGAGTCTAACCTAGTATACCAGACGCAGAGCACATCGACTTCAAGGTTACTCTCCCGTCAAGCATTCCTCTTTCCCTGACGACATTTACCCCTCTCTCAATGATTGCCCAGCTGAGGATGAACCCTCGGGTCCGATTCTCGCCACTCCAGAACATATGAAACTGAAAGGCACCGTTTGGCCAGGCATGGACCTCTTTGATGCTGCCTCGCAGGAAATGCAACAGAAGAGAAATCAGAAGAAGGATGCTTCCGTTCTGAGACGCATGGAGAAACTCGCTGCCTTGGTTGAGCCTACCGAGGTCGTGTATTCACCTGGCGGCAGCAATGTCCTGAAGGCGAGACACATTGACGACCTTGAAGATGGAAGCAGTCTGGTCGATGGGGAGACTCCCATTCCAAGAGTCAAGCAGGCCCCTCGATCTCGCAAGAGAAAGCCACTTGCAGAGAGAGACGCCAATGCTCCTCGACTTGTGAAACGCAAAGCCAAAGCCAATGCCCCAAAGAGATATGCTGATTTACCATTCGCCCAAGGGTTACCTCCCCTTCCATACTTACCCAGTTCATCCACCGGCGACTCGTATGGATTGGGTTCTCGCTATTTCCCGACCGAAGATGATGAGGACGACGTCAAACCACCCATTCAAGCTTTCGCTCCTCGCAAACGGCCTCCTCCATTCGAGATTTTCGCCGACGGAAGCCCCGGCTACTATGGAAACATGACGAGGAGCGGAACGCGGAACCCTCTGCAGTCTGGACCTCGAGGCTATGATAACGGCTCGTTCCAGCAACTGCCCAAGATTTCCACACCCTGGCTTCAACCACAGTATCAATCGGTCTTACAATATACCGACCCATATACGTCCTACCGACCAGTGGCTCAAGAGTATCAGGCATTCTACGAAACACATATTGAAAACGAGAATATCCCACCATTTGTAGGACCTCCAATAGCCCTTCGAGGAACAGGCACAAACCCTTTGGCATGGAAGTCCCCTATTCGACCATCTACCGATACTGGACTTCCTCCATCCGACTCTCCTTTTGGCAGTTTTTTTGGCATGTTTGCCAGTGGATCGCCAGGTGATGACCCCTTTGTGACGACCAAAAATCCTCTGATCGGGGCATTGCAACACTTGGAAGGTGTGCAATATCAGGTCCCGGTCAAGGAGAAGTCGTCGCCGCCGACAGATGGACGAACTTCAAATGGCACCGAAGTCTAGGTAGAGGAAAAATGGCCACGCTCCTATAGGAGTGAAACAGGTTGCAACAAGTTCCACCAAAAAAATCTTGGTCCTCTTTTGATGCCAACAATTCAATCAGCGAAGCAGAATATAAGCGGCATAGGTACCACGAAATGGCCCACACTCTCTTGGAAGCTCTACCAGATCTCGCGTATCAATCGCTTTGAAGCACGCACTATGTCAACGGGAGTTCAGAAGATGGTGGCAGGAGATAGACGGCCTATGTGATATTGGACCGGAATATTCTTGATGGTGCATGAATTTGATATGTGCAGTAGCGGTATAGGTAGTCTGTGAGTTTGTGACCTCCGTGGGCATTTTGTAGTCAGGCAATGTCACCTAATTCTAACCGTTTTTTCAAACATTTTATGCCTCGAGTGGTTGTGCTGCGGTCCTATTGACCCTGGGGACGCTGTATACCTGCTGATGCAACAGGATCGTTTCTGTCGGCACCGCGATACAAACGTGCTTTAAATGCATGGAAGTTTCCCACAAGTCAGGCTTATTGCTCATAAGGGCGACGGTGTTCTACTGATATAGCGCCTGGTCCTTCTGCTGTAATCTTCTCCTTATCTCGGTACTGCTGATCTTCGTCTCAAAACTCTTCTTTTCCTTGTCCTCCTTCTCTCCTCCCTCTGTCAGGTCTTCATCGTCATCCAGACCGACGCCTGCGTCCAAGACATCGACCTCGAAGACTTCCAGCGCTTTCCAGCCCCTTTCCGTTCTTTTGTCGTTGACAGCTTTCCCGCCGCTGCGGGTCTCGGCGGAAATTACCAGTGCAGTGATATCCGGGTCTGTGATGGTGGGGCCGAACGGGTCGGAGATCTGGGTGTAGTTTACGGTTGCATCTGCGATGCTACTACTACTCCCAGCAGGAGACAAGGAGCTGGGGAGGTGATATTTGACACGGACGACTTTGCCGTTGGGACCGGGTTGGTTGATGTAGTCGGTCATTCGGAGACTGTTGGTGATATCGGTTGTGCTCGTGCTTGCCTTGTGGGGGTAGAACGCCAGAATGGAGTCGATGAAGTCTGCAGTGCGTTGTTGTCGGACATCCCAGTGTTCGACTAAGGACCCGTACTTTTTGTTGACGAGCAGTTCGTCCCCCGTGATGCCGACCGTAATCAATCGAGACTCTTTCGAGTTGGTGTTAGGAGACTGAGCTGGTTCGGCGGTCAGAATGGTGGCGGTTAGCAGAAGTTTGTGCCCAATGTGCAAGTGGTCAAATGTGCCGCCTACAGCCACAGAGCGGTGAACTGTGAGCGGGCCGTCCTCAATATTCGATCCCAAGGGCTTTTGAGAGGAGCTTTCAGGGTGAACAATGGCTGGACCGCTCTGGAGGCGGTGGATGGATGGTAGTGCCGGAGGGTTGGTCTTGGAATTCCATATTCTAATGAATTGCTGAAGGGAGGCTTCTGGAGCCTCGCCTTCGACAGAGTAAAGAGCTGTATATGATCGGTCGGAGAGGACAAATGTCTTGAGGTCCACTATCGGTCCGGACAGATATTGCTTGCCGACGATATTCTCGGGAAGGTCATCCAGTCGAGCTTCCAGGATGAATATCCTGACATCAATACCGCCAGGGAAGTCGAGATCGATTCCCTGCTGAGCGGCGACGGAGCAAATGAGGCTATATGTCTGTTTCAGGAGAGTTTGGACGAGAGGAAATACCACTGCGCGGGAAGTATTATTGCTCAGGGGATACGAGGGGGATAGGACCAGGCCGATATCCAGGCGAGAGGTCGACCCTTTGTCAGCTGGGACGAGCTTAGGGAGCAGGGATTCAAATGTGATTTTATACGCTGATCTGAAAGAGGATGCTGGCGACGAAGGTGCGAGAGCGGGCAGGAGGAGTAGAAAGATTTCTTGTGCCATAGTTCACACACACCCAAAGGTATGAAAGAGACTGAGGAGCGCGGGACGCTGGACGAGAAGGACGGAGCAGTGAATAAGAAGAGATTGTTGCGTGCCAGCTGTGTTCTTATTTGTATGGAACCATCTCCATAGGAGTTGTTGTGCTTATGGGTGTTCACTGTGTCGTCGACTTCGGATATACCGAGGTGAGTGGGAACCGGGGGAGTTAATATGCACGTAACCTGAGGTTAGCTCGTGCCCAATAGCTGTTCAGAGAGCATTGACCCTCTTGACCCCTCCAACCTCGCGCTTAAGCGGCACCAGCGGCACCAGCGGCACCAGCGGCTGACAACAGGGAGCTGGGTGGCCTCACCAGCCCTAAGAGCCAGATCCCCAAGAGCCCCAAGAGCCCCAAAGCCCGAAGCAGGCCCGGGCACTGACGAAGACACGTTCCCGCCGCCCTCGCTCCCCTGCCACCACTTGCACCCTGGCGCCGTGTGTACTGTCCAGGCTGTAACCACTGGACCGACACTGATTCTCACTGCGCACGCAGAAACACAAATTTGGTCCGCATATGCTGATCTGGTCCTCTGCTCGCGGTTCCCCGTTGCTCGTCACTATTATGCCATTCCACATCCCTCACCACCAGCACCACCTCTCCGACCCTCAGTTCACCCACGACAACTACTACAGCGCTGTCAATGCCATATACTCTGCTGGCCAGACTGTGACCTCTGTCGGCGCCCCAAACCCTCAGTACTTGAACAACCACCCCCATCCGCCCACCACGGCTCCCGAATCCAGATCCTACCTACCTCAGTCGCAGCCAAACACCAATGGCAACGGTACCGTGATCCCATATCGTCCTGGTCCTCCCCCCTCGGCGTACACGAATGCGCAAGAGGCCCAGCCTGGCCAATACCAGCCGGGTCTGAGGCGCTCTCTGACAATCGGTCGCCAACAGGCCGACGAATTGCATTTGAATCAGCAGGGAACGGCCATGAGCGACGTCCACCACTATGGTGCACCGCCAGCCTACACAGGGGAAGCACTGTCCATCAAGATCGAACCCTCTACACCTCAGCATCCCAATAGTGTCGCCAGTCAACCGGTTCCTGGTACGCTGCAACCAGGTCTTGCAAGCAGACCTGCCACTCTAGCAGCCAGCAACACCGCTCCGACCCTCCCTACTCTACCGCAGATATCGACCCAGATCCAACAGCAGCAGCAGCAACAACAACAACAACAACAACAGCAGCAGCAGCAGCAGCAACCTCCTCTTTCCGCAAGACCAACGAATCCGAATCATACCCACTCCTACTCTCGGTCCAGTCCTGGCGCCATGGACCAGCCAAAATACAAGGCTTTCTCAGATACTCCGGATCAGGGGAAGTATCCAACCGCCCCGAATTCATACGTGCCTCAGACTCCTCAAGGACCTCCGTCATATTCTCCTCTCGGTCTAGCGGACATCAGACCGAGAACAGACCCGACGTTCACGGATATGCCCTTCAGTCCTGGTGTGGCGCAGGAGAACGACATTGTCCAGTATCCTCAAAATAGCAATTATATTGCGCCTTGGCCCATATACGCGGTTGATTGGTGCAAATGGCCTCCTCGGTCGAACAGCGGTTCGGCGGGCAAAGTGGCTATTGGAAGTTATCTGGAGGATAACCACAATTATGTGAGCATTCATGACCAAGGCTAAACTCGGGAAATATCTGGAATACGAGGCTGACAATTTCGGGGCAGATACAAATACTGGATACCCAAAGATCGCAAATAGACCCGGACAACCCCCACGGTGAACGAGGTTTGGAGTTTCTCAAAACCGCAGAAGCTACACATGCATATCCCGTGACAAGGATATTATGGGAACCGCCTTCATCAAACAAGCAGACGACTGACCTATTAGCAACGTCCGGCGACCACCTTCGACTGTGGTCGCTCCCGAATGACCAACATTCATATCAATCGAACTCCATCACGCGGTCAGCGACCAACAAAACGCCTCCGTTACAGAAGCTGGCACCACTGGCATTGCTTTCAAATTCGAAATCCCCCGAACACACCGCCCCCATTACGTCGCTTGACTGGAATGTGGTCCAACCATCCTTGATTATCACGTCGTCAATCGACACCACCTGCACCATCTGGGATATCCCCACACTCACGGCCAAGACGCAGCTCATCGCACACGACAAGGAAGTGTACGATGTGCGGTTCTGCGCGAATAGCGTAGACGTGTTTGTCTCATGTGGCGCAGACGGAAGTGTGAGGATGTTCGATCTGAGAAGTCTCGAACATAGCACCATTATTTATGAGCCGTCAGAGAAGCAGCAGCAGCAAGAGAAAAATTGTAAGTTTGGGGCTTGGATTTCCTACACTTTTGTCATGCTAACATCTGCAAAGCACAACTTGCGGATCCTCTTTCCAGTTCGCCAACACGCGCATCAGGTTCAGGTGGCGTTTCAACCCTCCCTTTTCCACCTCCGTTGCTCCGCATTGCGGCCTCTCCCCATGACGCCCACTTGCTCGCCACATTTAGCCAAGACTCAAATATCATTCGTGTTTTGGACGTTCGACAGCCCGGCCAGGCCTTACTTGAACTGAAAGGGCACGGTGCCGCCGTCAACTGCATCGATTGGAGCAATTCGCAGCGTGGCGTACTGGCCTCTGGTGCAGATGATTGTTGTGTGTTGCTCTGGGACCTCATGGGATCGAGCGCCTCAACCGGACAGAACAGTGTGCCGGGTGGCGTTACGAACAATAGTGGCGGAGGACAAGGACAAGAAAGGGGTCCGTCAGCGGTCTGGGATTCCAAGTTTGAAGTGAGCAATTTGAGTTGGGCTCCGACGGCGGGCACGCTAGGTGTTTGTGGAGGTAGAGGCTTTTGGGGGGTGCAGTTATGATGAATGAATTCCCTTCTTCATGAGGCTATATTTGAATTCAGGGGTTTTGGAAGTATACACATGGGCGGATACGCGTCTTATTACTGACCGAGGCGAGAATATCATGAGCTGTGACGTGGAGGAGATGGGACAAGATGGTACTTCGGCTACAGGTATTCGGAGAGACCTTCCCGCTCAGAGACCTTCCCGCTTGCTGGGGTCTAATGCTGACTTAAAAGTCACGTGTGTGGTAGATGGATATGTTGAAGCTGGATTGAAAAGCTCTTGAGAGAATGCAAAACGGGAATTTGAAAATCACGGCGTTTAGCAAGCAGCACCACCAGTGCCGCATGAGACCAGATGGGAGCGCAGTGGGCGTTTGTCTTCTCCGACATCAACGTCAAACACCCTTTGACTGCTCGAGCTTGAGAAGACAGGAGAGGACCCAGCTCTCCTTTCGTCGAGCTCCGGCCTGAACTAGGATGGCTGAGCGAAATTGGGACTCTGGTCAAGAGATACACGATGCTGCTGCTGGAGGAAGAGAGGCGGTGGAGAGGAGTGAGGGTCCGAGTGGCCCCAGTGTGTGTACCAGCACAGACCAGATGAGATGGGACGAGACAAGAACCCCAGCTGACGGGCCATCTGCTCGTTGCGTTTACCTACTTCAGTGCTGTCTTCTGTCCTCTTTGTCCTCTCTATTTGTGATGTGATATGATGTGATGTGATGTGCTCCGTAGACACCGAGTATACGATAGCCAAATCGCCACCACGCCACTACTAACTGACCCGAATTCCATCCATGGACTCCGTGTCCATGCATATGCGCATGCAAGCAAGCAAGCAAGATAGATGCAGAGAAGGGAATAAATGAAATCATACAGAACATCACCCGGAATGCCATTGCCCCTGTCATCATTCCTCCCCTTCCCTTTCTTTTCCGTATCAATCCATGAATGGAATGCAGGATGAAGTTAATGTATGCCTATTCTTCTGTTTTTCTTTTCTTCTCTTTCGTTGCCGCACGTCAGAATCTATGATACTGTAGCTAATGTCACATAACCTAACCAAGGGTTTTGGCTCTGGCTTTGGATCTGGCCAGTCTCTCTCTCCCCCTCTCCCCTCGCGTACACGCTCTCTCAATTCGCCTTAATCTTGCCGTTTGCCACAAACCCATTTCCTTCCCCTTTCAGACCGCTTCCACTTCCAGCCGAAATGCTGGCCCGTCTCCTCCGCTCCGCCTTGCAATTTACATAGACGGCCCTCTCAATCGCCTTCAGGATCTCGTCTATGACGATGACAGGGGCCGAGATCCACAGCACGGCCATCCACTCGTCCCACCCCAGGGCTTCAATGGAGAAGACGCCTTGCAAAATGGGTGTATAGAGAATGAGAAAGTGTAGAAGCATGGAGAGGCAAATGGCGTAGATGAGCTTCATATTTTTCCAAAGCGGGAGCTGAAGTAAGCTTTCCGAGGAGCTGAGGGCATTCATGGCATTGAACATCTCGATCACAACCAAGATGGACAGGGACACAGTCGACGCGGTGCGTGTCGGGATCGACGAGGACGAGAAAACCGCGCAGTCGACGTTCTTGAAGATAGCATTGGTCGGCGAGCATTTGTGGAAGCTTCGAAGTTGCGTGAAGCTGACCTGCGGGCCGGAATGGTAGAGCATGAACCACCAGACATAGCCAAACACAGTGGCAGCGCCGACATAGGTCCCGATAACCATGTATCGGAAGAACAACCACCCAGAAACGAGGGGCTCGTCGCGTTTCCGCGGGGTACGCCGCATCACGTCGTGGTCGGCCGGATTGAATGAGAGGGCCGTTGCCGGAAGACCATCCGTGACCAAGTTCACCCAGAGAAGTTGCACCGGGATCAAGGCTTCCGGCAACCCCAGGGCGGCAGTCAGGAAAATCGAGACCACCTCGCCAATGTTGGACGAGATGAGGTATCGGATGAATTGCTGGGTGTTGCTGTAGATAGTGCGGCCTTCTTCAATGGCGATTTCAATCGTCGCAAAGTTGTCGTCCGCAAGGACCATGTCGGCAGCCAATTTGGCGACGTCGGTGCCCGTTCCCATGGCGACCCCAATGTCAGATTTCTTCAATGCTGGGGCGTCATTCACG